TGTATACTTCACTGGCTTTGTTGTATTTTTCACCTCGGATTCTTTCCGGTGAACTCCACCTAAAAAAAAAAAAAAAAAAAAAAAGGGTTTGAAAAAGAATAAGACGGATATGTATGATAGGATAAGAATAAATTACCTTAAAATACTAAGTGGTGCTGATGATGTAGATTCTTCATTAGTTCGAAAGTTATAGAGTTTCGGTTGTAAAAATTCATTAAGCAATATATTAGAACTAATTATATATAAATTTAAAGAAATTTTAATTAATATATGTCAACATTATGTTAAGATATAATATGTATTTACTAACGTTCTAATATCATAGTGTAAAATATCTTTTTCATGACAATAATCCAATGCACTAGCAATTCCACGGGCAATTGATAGTTTTTCAGTTGGCTTTAAAAGATGGTCATTAAGGTACGCTTGCAAATTATTATCAGCCCATTCCGAAATTACGGAGAATTCAGTAGTAGATCGACGACAGTACCCGTAACTTTAAAGGAAAAAAAAATTTTTGTTTTTATAATTACTTCAATATACAGATATAAAAGACGATTTAGATAAATGTAAACTTACAATTCAAGAATATATGAACATTCACAAAGATTTCGCATAAAATTAATTTCTTTCTTCAATTCATACAAAGATTTATCAGTAGTAATCTTTTCAGCAACATTATGTTCTAGATACTTTCGTTGAATTATGTGATCATTACTTCCTCTAACTAGTCCACCACCTGAAAGTTCACTTTTAATAATTTCACAATTAAATTGATGATGAGGAATTATAAGAAAGTTTGCTAAGGACATGGCTCTACATCTAATCTTTTCCCAACTACTTCTTTGATTTTCTTCGTCTAACAAGTCTTTGATTGTGGTTTTCAATTTGTCAATCAAACTATTTGCCTCTTCTATTTGACGAGCGATCTCTTCATGCTATTTTTAAAAGATTTTTATCGGAAATTATAAACGAATTTACAAAAACGCATATATTACAATTAAATTAAATTTATATAAATATTATAAATAATTCATACCATATCTTTACAATAGTTGACATAAAGATAAATATCCCAGAATTTACTTTTAAGGTTTTGAAAAGTTATAGACTCTACGATAAATACTCGAAGTTTATAATTAATAGCTTTAACATTCAGCACATTTTCGTAAACCTTATTTATCTCCTTTTCATTTTTACTAGCTTCATCATCAACATTTATATCTCCGTTTAAAGAATGTGAACTTTCGGGAAACATCATCAATTCTGTAATTTCTTCCAACAAATCTTGACCATGTTTTATTACTTCTAGCCCTCTATTATATAAATCTTCTTTATTTTTTAAATTTTCGAAGGCACGTTTGGCAAAATTGAGATTAATTTTTGCATCCGAGAGAGTTGATTCACAATACATTGTTTAAGTGGACTTGAAAAAAAAAGAAGATATTGAAGATGGTAATTTCTATTTTAATATAAAAATATAATCACTCGAAATATTACTTATTCAAGTGAATCAAGTTTGTTGAAAAAAAAAGAGAATAGAAATTCCTAAACTTCGGCATTTTATAATAATCATTGAAACTTAAAACCGACTTAGGTACGTACTGCGTAAGAAATCTAAAACTCACAATCCTTCTATATAGAAACAAAGAGTGTATAAAAAAAAAAGACAAAATATAAATAAACGATAGTATATTGAAACTAAATATTTCCTAATATTTTGATTTACTTTGTTTACTATGTTAATAACGTATTTGCTTATCCCGAAAATTGTTTATCCCTAAATAGCAGGTGGGAATTACGTTAAGTATAGTCATTATAAGGAGTAACTGTGGTGTTTAGATTTCTTACACTGTACAGTACATACAAATATACATGTACGGTAAGAACATCAGACATGCGTTGGTACTTTATGAAGAAAAAACAACAACTTAATGCTTAAAAGTTCAGAATGGACACTAAAGATACAGTATATTTTGATACTGTTTATCACTGGTTTATC